AGGAGTACCTATTTATCTATTTTGTTATTTTAAAAGGAATTCAGAATGAAAAGCTAAAGTGTTTCCATGTTCCTGTCACTGAGAGGCTTACCAGACATTTATTGAATATTTATCTTCTGTCTGCTAAACTATGAAAATACTGATAACTCAAAGATGACAACTATATGAGCTCTGCTTTCAAGTAGCTAATAATGTATTTAGAAAAACAGACATATAATCCGTTGACCACCATTCTAGAAAGAGACCCAACTGAGATAAAAAGGCATTTATCTGGGGTCTGTTAGGACTCCAGCCTGGAGACACAGACTCAAGAACTACCTGAATTGTGTTCTTTTTGGACTACAAAATGAGGCTTATAAAGGCAAAAACTGAAAGCTTAAAGTTACTTGAGTGGTTATCAAGAATTATAATTGGAGCTGGCAAGAAGTAAGGGTGCTTATTAAGTGAGGATTGGTGGGTGTCCCAAATGGTTGCATAGTTACAAGGGGAGAACTTGAGACCATAAGGTTGCAGCTGACAGGTGCTGTTTTGAATACAGCTGGTGGTGGTCTTGAGTCTCGCATAGCTCAAAGAAAGTTCAAGTTCTCAGTGGTGCAGAGACTTCTCTGAGACCTGGTCCTCGTTGGCCACCCAACTCCATTTTTGTATGCCTGATCCATGATTACTCCATTATAATTTTAATTTATCATCAAATTAAATATCCAATAATGTGTAAGTTACATAATAGAATGGACAAAATGCTGGGACAGAGTATGTTGCCATTCATTTTTCCTAAAGGAAAGTTTTATCAGAGAAATACTATTGGGCCCATCCTAGGAAAGCCAAGGAAGTGGGCATTCTTGGTATCGTGGTTGACATTTTCTGTCTCTACTTGTTATCAATTTGGGTAAACTGTATTACCCTAAGAAATCACTCATTTTCATCTAAGCTTTCAGAAAGAAAATATCAGTAAAACAAAAATCTTTCATCTCATGATTCACTCATTACCTATGAGTAACTACTAATATCAACACAGCATCTAAAAATATATGCTAAGGTAAGTAAGAAAAAAAAAACCATAAGATGATGGTCTCCATGGGAAAATGCCTGGGCAGATTTAGCTCCCATTATTTGTTCATAATTGTTTCAATTCTGTCACCAGGTGGAAGATCCATAGAGGAAAACACAGCAAATCCCTAGATAATTTACACACTTATGTTAGAAAGAATTGTCTTTTCCTTCTACCAGGAGTATACCACATTTACTATTACAACTACTATTAGTAGTACTACCATATAACCATTTACTTCCACAGTATTTAAAGCAGATGATGGTGGCTATTATCAATACTTAAAGAGACATTCTGGCAAGAGACTTTCACTTACCATGCCTCCAATGTTTACAGAGCTATTCATTTAAAAGTAATGTTGAAAAAAAAAGTCTTATCTGAATCTGGCTTTTACAAACTTATCTGATATATTGAGTCAGGTACTTAAATACACAATTTGCCTCCATATGTATGTTTGAAGAAAAGTGATTTTTTAAAAAGCAAAATCAGCATGTTATATAATGAATGCCCCAACCAACCAGAGATCACTATTTGCTCTGCTATACTTCGGATAGGTGTCTAAGGTTCTCCAAATCTCCCCTTCCCCATACACTCAGACCAGAGGCTGTGGGTGGTGAATGAGACCCTCCAAATAGCTACCATCTGGGAGCAGTAGGGATGGGAATGGAAGATGGGGCATCTCTCCCGGCTACGTTAGAAACATTTTCGAGAATTGCTTTGTGCTGACCACTGAAACACTCTTGTTCTGGAATCATTCCCTTAAGGACAGCAGTCATTGGGTTGAATCTTTAAGGCTGTCTTTTAACTTCCTTCTCTTTATCATAATTTCCAGCATCTGCCATGCCCAGGATATATTGGTCAGTGTTCAAATGCCTCTTTCTGAGTGTCACAGCAGAGTTCCCTTGGAATCATCTGGAATCATTCAGGCTTTTCAACAACAGCCAGTGGAATGTTGGACAGTCTCATTTAATACTATTCCAGTTTATTGTATCAACCCTTCAGGTATTTTGTTCCAATTTTGGATGGTGAACTAAGAAGTCTAGTGGGTACCTTTACAAGGAATCGTGCTGCTTTTTCAGAAATGCTCTACCTGGAATTAGTTGTAATTTTTCATATTAACCTGGAATATGATCTGGTAGATTTAATTCTAAAAGCTCAAAATGGAAGTCAAATTTTAAAAATACATGTCTTTTATTTTTCTTCCCAGCTTTATTGAGGTAATAGTTGACATATAGCTCCTTTCTTTAAAGAAGAAAGTGAAATGGGTGCATATGAATAGTTCATTGTTCATATTCACTTTAGTATGTGACATGGTTCATGTTGATGTAAATGTGCAAAGTTTTGACAGTCAAGGATAATACAGTAGTTTGAATTAAGATTTTCATATTTTATGAAGGGCAAGAAGGAAGGAATATCTCATTATTTCTCAAAGTAAAACTCAATAGAATAACAAGAGGAAAAATAGTAGATTTTAATAGATTCCTATAAGAAACTGATGAATTAATAAAGATTTTAAAGCATTTAACGAATAAATTAAAAAGCTTGATAAAAGAGAAACCGGCATCCAATGAATAGGAATATTTAAAGAAGACATTTATAAAGCACAAAACTAACATTTATAAAAACAAATGAAAAAAGGAAATCAACTATACGTCAATAAAAATGCAAATGAGTGATGCATATTTTAAAGGGAGTATGTAAAGACTATACATTCTTCTCTAATTCATATGAAATATAAGAATTCATAACTCTCAAAGTTTAGCACACGAAGTCTCTAACAACAAGGTAATTAAATTATAAATCAACAGTAAAAGATGGCAAAACCAAGATATTAAAAAAACACTCCCAAATAACCCAAGAGTTGAGAATGCAATAATAAGAGAAAATATGAACTCTTTAGAACTGAATGACTGTCAGAATACATATACAGCAAGATGTTTTTTAATCAGCTCAAATGGCACTTGGAAGTTTTAGGGTTTTAAACGCATTTGTTAAAAAGACAAGAAGATATTGGGCACTGCCAGCCTCAGAGCTGCTCAGCCTTCTGCTATTTTAGGTGTCTTAACAAAACAGATAACAGCACGCACCGGTTCACACAGAACCTGTCCCGGATAATAGCAAGTTTCTGAAATTTTAGCTACTTAGCTAAAATGTTTAGCTATTTAGATAGCTACTTAACTATCTAATTCAACAAAATATATTTCTTTATTTTTAAAAACCTCCCTGTCTTTACTTATTTTTATAAAAAATTGTAATAGTAAGGGTACAAGTATCATAAACAAATATGCAAATTTTGTTTGCATATTGCATTTGCATATTGCAAAAAATTGACATAGAGGCAGTTAAATACTTTCAAATTACTAGTTTGTTCATTATTCCTTCCTCTTTTATATAATCATTTGTTTTGAATATTAAAATTTCTGAAAGATGCCATTGGAAATCACGGTGACCTAAGATTAAAGTAGTACAGAGCTTCATCTTGTTGTGCTTCATTTTTTCATATTTCCTGTAATAAAAATAAGAAATCTGTAACATCTAGAAATGGCATATTATTCATTCATAAGGACATAATTATTTTCATGACAGTTTTCTGACAATACTCTTTCCTTATTCTGTCCTTTTGCAACCACCTCCGTCTGCTCTATCTTTACATAAAAGAGACACATAAAACTTTACAAAACGATTTTGAAGAAAATACAAACATGCTGCATGTCATTATTCAACAGTTAATGTATTTTGATGGGAACTATTCTTCTATGCCTTCTTCCATCACCTCCAACCAGGGTTAACACAAAACAAATGGGTCATACACACACAAAAAGCCATTGTTTAACTGACATTCAAAGTTATTTGGGTTTGAAAAAAAGATAAAGAAAAGAAACAGAGTTATTTGGGCATCCTGTATTTTATCTGGCAACCCAGCCTGCAACACATTGAAACACTCTGCCCTGAGCCCAGTGCATTGCAATAAAAGGAAGATGACCTTTCATGTAGGACGAAGCACTAGAAAATTATCAAACACACTGTTCTCTGACTTATCAAATAATAGAAACTCTTTAAGTACTTTGAGTTTTCAGAAGTTATTCGTACTGAGACATTTTAGTTGAAATTATGTTTATTATAGATGTAGAACATGAAATGATAAAGGACATTTAAATTGAAGACATAGGTAAAATTTTAAAATTTGTAAAACTAAAATTCACCACTAAGATGAACTTTTATTTTATTAGACTATTATTTTTTAACTATAAGTTAGATGAATAGAAACAAGCTAAATTATTTTTCTGCTTAAAATTTACATATTTATATCTATACAAATATATAAAATAAAGCACATAAAAGATGCTCAACATCTTTAATGGTCATTAAAGATATATAAATTAAAATCATGAGATAGCAGGGTTTGCTTGCTTTAGAATTTTATATAAATAGAATACAATACAGGTCTTTTGCACCTGGCTTTTTTCAGCTAGCATAGTATTTTAGTGATTTACCCATATTGGTGGATCTATTGATAAGAATGAGCCTTCAAACTCAGCTCTATTGTCTCCCAATTCATTGTACATCCATTGTACATGATAAAAAGGGAAAAGGAAATTCCTCTTTTACAGTACATAATATTATATTCCCTTTTACAGTACATGATAAAAATGGAAAAGGAAATTGATTCTTCTGAAACAAAATATTAGTGAATGTTAGAAAGCTACATGCATAAAATTTAAAAACATTCCTAACATAAGGCTATAAAATAACACATTGATGACTATCTGACAATTTTCTATATATTTATATCAATTTTTATACTTACCACCTTTTTATTGATGGTTTAACTTTCTTTAATATGATGTAATCTCTTACCCACTATGAAGAAAGTTGAGAAATGGTATAATCCTTGCTTTTTCCAAAGAATGATTCTGATCATTTTTAAAGAAGGTGTTAAATTTTGAAATTCCTAATAATAGATATCCTGTTGAAAATTTTTAAAATAATTTAATATAATCATATTTTACACATGATTAAATTGCTATTTCTTTCTGTTTTATGTGGTATGAAGGAAAAAAAAGAATAAAGTTAAGATTACAACATCAAAATATGAATGATTAGCTGTACATTCTCCTTAATCTGTCACGAATTTACAAAGATAGGTTAAAATATCTTATCTTGTAAAATAGATATATAAAGGAAAAAAAGAATCCCTTTATAATAGCATCAAGCAGCAAAAAGGCATAGACTAATTTCTGTCTGCATCACCTGTGACTATGTTTTATGTATTTTGATGATAAAGATTCATAAAAGTTCTTACTATTCCAGACACTTGTTTACCAAGCACTTTAAATCTTGAATTCCACCTTGCCTGATGGCTAACAGCTAATGTATACTGAGTTCACACTCTAAGGTACTATTTCAAAGGGTGCAGTACAATAATACCCAGAATAGAAAAGGTGAAAAGAGTGCAGAGAGATAATGAATGAAATGATGAGAGGGTGTATATGTGCATTTGTCTCATTTCAACTGAGAATTAAAGCAATCATTAGCTTTGTTGTGTGAAGAAGCTAAGAAGGATAGCAATGTCAACAGTATGGCAGAGGTAAAAGATATCTTAAAGCTTGTTAATTTCAACCTCATTTTCTAGCTTTCTTTAAAGCTCAGAAGCGTGGTAGGGCTTGCCCAGTCTCATGTACACAGGTCATCACAACTAAAAATTGATTGTTTTGACTCTGAAGTCTTTGCTCTTTTTACCCCACCAAGATTCTAAGACAATTATAAATAACATTGTTTTTGAAAATGATGAAAAACTTAGGAATGATTAAAAATCAAATAATGCTAAAATTTTGTTCATTTGGTAAACAGTGACCTGAAAAAGAATGCTGCTACATTTAAATTCAATAATAGAGGCATTTTATTTTTGGAATTTTTTTATAATTCTGAATATTAAACTAAAATAGTAAATTTTGCTATAATTTTCAAAACATCTTTTTAGTTTCATTATTTAAATTACAGAGCTGAGAAGAGTAAGGCATAGAAGTTTACACAGGCTGGATTTTTCTAACCAGGATAGATAACCTGGATCTTGCAAAGTTGATTGCTGTTCATAACAAATAGTTCTGTCATGAGATGAATTGTGTTCAGACAATTTTTATAGCCTCTCATGTTCTCATCATTCCTTTTCTAAATAATATTTTGTAAGTTCGTGAAACCTTGTGTATTACACAACTACATGTCAAAACACTTACTTTGAAATATTGTTCTCTTCCAGGGTATGATGACTGTATACCCACATGCTGGAAAAGAGAAGGTCTATATCGAATACGAATATGCTTATTTCGTTCTATACATTTCTCCTGTAAGAGAAAAAATGATCTTGTGTAAAAACCCAAATACTCGTTTTTATTGCATTTACTGGTGACAGAACCTTTTATTAGTTTTTGCCTGGATTCTATATTACTACTTTAAAATTTAAACAAAACATTTAAATTTTTAGCTTTTTCTTTGTAAGAATAATGGAACAAATAAATCGAGATGCAAAAGCATGTATTTTCTTCCATGAGCTCTATTAGTTCACTAGAAAATCAGGCTTGCTTGCTCAGTCTTGTCCAACTCTTTGTGATGCCATAGACTATAGCCTGCCAGGCTCCTCTGTCCATGAAATTTTCCAGGGAAGAATGGTGGCATGGATTGCCATTTCCTACTCCAGGGGATCTCCCCAACCCAGGGATGGAACCCAAGTCTCCTATGCATCTCCTACATTATAGGTGGATTCTTTACCACTGAGTCACCTGGAAAACTCAGAAAATCAGGCTACTATTGTGTGAACTATAATTTTCCTCTCCTCTCTCTTTATTCCAGTAACATAAACTTTCTAGTATTTTCCCATCTATCCATTTCTCTTGGTCTACATTATTCTCTCCCCATTTATTAATTTAAAAACTAAATTACTCCCTCTTCAATTTCTCCTTATAACATATATGATTAAAAAAAACAGTATTATACTTCATGGAAAAAGATTTGGATAATCTTATCAAAGAAAGATGGCCTGTGACATTATCACCCCTATTAAAAACAAGCATTTGATTTGCATTTCTCTGATAATGAGTGATGTTGAGCATCTTTTCATGTGTTTGTTAGCCATCTGTATGTCTTCTTTGGAGAAATGTCTGTTTAGATCTTTGGCCCATTTTTTGATTGGAGAAGATGTGGTACATATATATAATGGAATATTACTCAGGCATAAAAAATGAAATAATGCCATTTGCAACAACATGGATGGATCTAGAGATTATCATACCAAGAAAGAAAGTTAGAGAATGAAAAATGTCATATGCTATCACTTATATGTGGAATCTAAAATATGACACAAATGAACTTATCTACAAAATAGAAACAAACTCAATAGACATGGAGAACAGACTTGTGGTTGCCAAGACGGAGAAGGGGTGGAGAAGGGATGGATTGGGAGTGTGGGGTTAGCAGATGCAAACTATTATATATTTAATGGGTAAACAACAAGGTCCTACTGTATAGTATGGGGAACTATATTCAACATCCTTTAAGAAACCATAATGAAAAAAGAATATGAAAAAGAATGTGTATGTGTGTGTATATATATATGTATATATGTATGTATATGTATAACTGAATCATTCTGCTGTACAGTAGAAATTAATACAGCATTGTAAATCAACTACACATCAACAAAATAGTTTATAAACAATTATTATGATTGCTATCGTTATTTATGTAATGTATACATATAAAATTCATTAAAATACAACTCAAATTTATGTGCATAATAATGTTAAATAGCAGGCTTATTTAAATTCATTTCTACTGATGTTAACATGTAGGAAAATACTGTATTAAAAATGTTTTTTAAAACTGTAAAGTCATTAAATAATGTACAGTTAATTTGAAACTAAAGTTCAGACAAAGTTAGTTGAAGACTTAAAATACAGGAAATATAGTAATACCTTTAATCTATTAATAAAAGTTTCAGTAGGATGGTATTATCAAATTCTTGCTTGCCCAAAATACCACTCAAATAACTTGTTGATGAAGCAAAGCTGAGTTCATTGTTTACTGCAGTAAGGGAGAAAATACCTTGATATGAGTCTGTTCAAGTCTTGTGCCTATTTTTCAACTGGATTGTTTTCCTGTTGTTGAGTTTTGAAAATTGTCTATATATTCTGAATACAAGTCTTTGTTAGGCATGGAATTTACAAATATCTTTTCTATCCTGTGGTGCCTTCTCTTAACAGTAAATTTTGCAACACAAAAGGTTTTAATTTTAATGAAGTCCAATTTATCAACTTTTAAAAATGGATCAAGCATTCTGTGTCATGTCTAAGAATTCTTCACCTAATCCTGGGTCCTAAAGATTTTTTTCCCATGTTTTCTTCTAAAAATTTTGTAGTATCATCTTTTATACTTAGGTGATATACTTTGAAATAATATTTGTAACAGGTATATGTTTACATCGATTCTTTTTTAAAATATACATAAATATCCAGTTTAAAAAAATCAATGCACTAAAATTTGTAAACAAAATTTAGGTAATTACATCAGAGAGATAGTATTTTCCTAAAAATACAAAGTAAAGAAATACTCACAAGAGCTTCTCCTGGGGTACACATCTTTACCAGAAAAATGTCCCCCAAGAGCAAATCTACGGGTTTATTCTTGTAGAACATTAAAAAAAAACGTACAAAGTCAGTTAAATCTTCAGATTTAAATAGCTTTCCTATGGAGAAAAAGTAAACAAAGCCCAATAACTCTTCAGTGTTTATACCACATATCAAAACATCACCCTTATATACAGTTATTCATTTCACTGACATGGGAAAGAGTACAAAAATATTAAAAATTAAATATATCTATTCCTTGCAAAGCTTAAAGCATTAATGAAGTTGGAGGATGATGAAGCAAAATCATATATCTGCTTCAGTATTAAGAATTACCACTTTTGGTGGGATAAGTAAGAAGCAAGTTTAGAATCGTGAATACTCTCAGGAAATTAACTTTGATAACTAAGGAGGATCAACTGTTCAAACCACTTGCAAGATATATAAATAAAATGGAAAGTTTAGGACCTGTAACCTTTCACTTAGTTTTTCAGAAACTATGATTTGTAAGCTTATTTACATAGAACTTAATCAACATACTACATTTTTTACTTTTAGTGCTTAATTTTGAATAAAATAGAGTATTATTTCAGTACTTGAACATATTTTATAAGAATGTTATTTTCCTTTGTATTTATGATTCTTAAAGATTTACTGTATTTTAAAGTATGATTTAATTACATCTAATTATTTATTTCTAACATATTGCATCTTTAACTTGAAAAATAAAGCTGAAGGTATAAGATTCAGGTAAATTTTCACCTTAAACAGTGTAAAACACATCTAGCCACCTAATAAATATGATAGTAGGATGTAGGAACTTCATTTTTCACTAAGACTTGAGTCTATATGGGTCACTTGATCAAGTGTATGGTTGTATTTGAATTTTAGGCACCTATGTACATAGTAACCAAAACAAGTGATTTAATGATAGAAATAGTTGATTTAATATCTGTTTATCTGCTGCCAGCATTTTGAAAATTCTATTAGCAAGCTCATATTTTTGGAAAATACTGAAAAACAGAATTGTTACTTTGATAACAAAGAAAATGAAGCCTTTATAGATTTAAGCTTAAATAAGAATTTAGTATCATACATATAGTGTTTCTTGTGAATATTCTCTATCCTTCTAATACCTGACTTTTATGAGAAAGGCAAAAAGAACTTAAAATTCTCAAAGTAATAAACCAACAAAATTATCTCTCCAAGCTTTCAGCGGGTATTACTGTCACCTACAATTTTTCTTTTTATTGTAACCAAAGCTGAGGGAAAAAAAAAAACTTGCAGAGTATTAAAATTGGAATCCACACCACTTTACAGAAACTTTGTGGGGGAAAGGGGTCAGTATATGAAGTGGTAGATATGGAAGAACAGATGACTAGCAGTCAAAGAGATGCTTTATTCTCCTCCCCATGGCAAACAAAAATTTTAATGGATAAAATCAAATGTTTTCAAGTATATGGGGAAGCAGGAACTCAGATGTACTGCCTATGAGAGTATATACTACACAGTCAACCTGCAAAGCAGTCTGGCAGTACTTATGAGACCTGGCTATGTTTACCCCAGTGATCCCATCCTAGGACACATATATATCACTCCATTTCTTTGTGGCAGCAGACAGCTAGAAGCAGTCAAGGTCCACCACTCTGGGAATGGACAAGTCAAATAGATTATTATGTAGCACTTATGCAACAGTAAGGAAAATGAAAATAAAGCAACATATAGCCAGCTATATAATCTAGTTTTGTGGACAAAAACATAAGGAACAGAAATATGTTTATCAAATCACCATTTATGTAAATTTTAAACAAGTACAAACACAATGAACAACAAATCTTTTGCATGGTATCTGGTATTTATATGTATATTCTGGATGAAATATATAGAGTGCAAACCTATCATGAGAGTGGGTAGAAGTGGGGGGGTGCTTTAAACAGAAGAATAAAAAAGGTCCCCTGCTTGTAAACAAAGATGAAATGCAATATGAAGCGAGTTAGGTAACTTGGCCTCCTGCAGTGAGGGTTAAATAAAAGAAAACGGGATAGAAGGATGGAAGGAAAAAATGGAAGGAAGCAAAAGGAAAGTCTATAAAAGAATTACAAAAACAATACATTATGGGCAATTTTAGGAACTTTTCTGTGCTGGGTATAATTCCTATGTTTTTACATTTTTTAAGCATGTTAGCTTCAGCATACTAGAAATTGAAAGGCCTTCAGAGTACAATAGTCCTGTTAAAATTCCTTCCTCTATAATTTTAATTTTTTGAGTTTCAATATTTTTCTATGTAATATAGAAGTACATCTTAGTCACTGTGCTAATATGTGCCAGACTCAGAGCTAGCATTTATAAGTAATAGCTGCCTTATGTTTTTATAACATGTGAATATATGTCAATCTGCTTATTTATACTGTTTATCTACAAAAAATTTGGTTTAAAAACACATTTTCTGAAATTCAGGTTCTTGAATCTAATCTTTCTGCTAAACTAATAGTATCTTTACAGAAATTATGCCATTCCTTTCCCTTGAGTAACAATCTCTTTGATAAATTCTTAAAAACTTTTGTACTGAAAATGTTGACCCCACAAAAATAGATCCACTGCTTACCTATAAATCCAAGAACTGAAAACTCAATATAAAGCCAATTATTTGAAGTGATGGTATGTACAAAATCTGTGATTTTTGTAAGGTACATCTTGTTAGCTATGATATCATCTTCCAGCTTTAAAAAAAAGGGGGGGGCATTAGTACCTTTGATGCTTCCCTGGAACAAATTAGCTTGAAAATTGAAAATACAACAGAAAAAAAAAACACATTTTTATGATGTAGTAGATTGCTTTTTTAGCTCAATTCATGTTGAGGTTATTTCCTGTTAGTCAATTTTCATTTTCTAATTCTGAGACCAGAGATTATCAGTTTCTTTCCTAAATACTAGTAAGTAACATTCAATCTAAATCCTCTTCAGAAGAGTCTATCCACCTGGGTTCATTTTCACACTCACAACTATTTAGTTTCTTGGTTAGGACTAACTGGCTTTATGCTTAGTTGATAAGTGCCACGTTCTGGTGCCAAATATTGTGCTTGGCAAAGAGGTGGCAAAAGGGAGCTGGCACTCTTGGCCTCACCTAGCTGGTTAGAAGTATGGTGCCAATAAGCCTAGAAATAGATCTCCATGAGGGGGTGGGGTGCAAAGGAAATTAGAATTTACTTTTTAAGTTTAATGTGTATTATGTGGAATCTATAGATGAAGAGGGGTTCCTAAATGATCTGGGAAGATGCACAAGTCCTCAGGCACAATACCAGGGCACAAAATAGAATCCTGTTTTTCCCAAAGGGGATGAGTACATTGGCTGCATCTTGTGTTTCTATTACATTGCCTCTAACTAGGAATTGAAAGGGATTTTGGTTTTTTACTGTAAAAAGAGAAGATCTGGCTTCAGGCCTTTTTCAAATTCCCTCTCTATTCTCCAGTGACAATCTGCAGACTCCTGTCACAACTGTGCACTCTCTCATGTGTGGTATATACTTACTGTTGGAAATGTGGTATTATTATTTAACATCACGCAGGAATTTAGAAGGTACAAATTATATACAGTTGATTTATTTAACAAACACATAAGACACTGTAGAGCTGTGTTACTCATAAAATGGGGCAACACAGAATAGCAATGATAACTGTACATATATAGTGTCTAACATAAGTGCCCAAAATATGTGTGCTTAATCTAATATACTTGTGGATAGAAAAAATGTAAGTAATATAATTTATTTTCTTGCTAATTTGAGATTTTTTTTTCCATTTGCTTCATGTAATTATAATTTCCTCTGTTAACAGTGACCCAGAAAGAAGACTGACACAGAACCAATTTTAAGCTTCCTTTTGGTGTTTTAATATAATGGATATTTTCCACTTTTTAAGTACAGAGTCAAGTGGAGGGCTACAATGAGGAAGGAAGTAATGGAAGGAGAGAAGGAGGATATAATACTTCCACTTTCAATTATGTATCTAAATAAGGTCTTACCTGTAAATAATACATAGCTTTGGGCTGGGCATACAGCATCAAAAAACAAAAATCTAATACTTGTTTGATTCTCCAACTAGAGACAAATAATAAAATTTGTTAACATTTTTCATTTTATTTAATTTTTATTTATAAGCATATCTCAGTAATTAAAAACAAACTTCTTTTACACTTTACTCACAGAAAGTACTCTCCACGTTAAGTGAAACTGAATATCTTGTACTAAAGTTATACTAAAAGGTTTTCCAACTTTATTCAGTGGACAATGTCTGCCATTACTAGACCAGGATAAGCATAATCTACTTATTTTATGTTTTGGTTAGTCAAATTACCATTTATATAATAAAGGTAAAATTCTTCCTGATCTTAGGTCTTGTTTAAACAAAAGTATGAAGAACCATTATACTAATTTAATACTAAACCAGATACTAGGCTGGGCTTCCCTAGTCGCTCAGTGGTAAAGAATCTGCCTGCCAGCGCAGGAGACTCAGGTTCAATCCCTGGGTCAAGAAGATCCCCTTGGAGGAGGAAATGGCAAAACACTCCAGTATTCTTGCCAGGAAAATCCCATGGACAGAGGACCCTCATGGGCTACAGTCCATGGGGTTGCAAAGAGTTGGACACGACTTAGCAACTGAACAACAACAACAGGTACTAGGCCAGGTCCTGACGCTCCAGAGAGCAATACACAGCGTGGTTCCTGCCCTTCTGGGTCTCATAATCTAGCAGGAAAAATAGAAAAATCATAAACTGAGAGCCATCAGACAGGTACTACATAAAGATATGGACAATGATGACTTATAATAAGATGGGGAGGGTGGAGCAGAAGGAAGAACAACATTCAGTTTAGAGGGGCAGTACTGCAAAGGCATGGATGTGTGAAGGAGCAACCCACCTCTGAGAACACCGTGAGCTGGTGGAAAGGAAGTCAAGGATAGTGAGATCAGCAGGGGCCTGCTCATGAAGGGTCTTTCATGACATGCAGGAAACTATATATCTCATATGAAAAAGGATTCTTCTGGCTAGAATATGGAGAATGAATTGGAGGCAAGGCTAGGCTAGGATTAAGGGAAGCCAATAAATCTCCAATGGTCTGAACTAAGCTCAAGGCAGAGGACTGAGGATGAGAGGGATAATGTAGAGAGAGAATCTAAAAATGAAATGATGATGGAGTCATAAAGGACAGAAGGAAAACAAGGATCTAGAATGTCTCTAAGCTCTAGGACTCTAAAAACTGAGTAAAGTGTGGGTCATTAAAAGCAAAACAAAATCTTTAAAAGATATCTAGATTTGGACATACCATTTATTACTTAAAAAAGAGAACCCAGTGCCAATAAGCTTCCTGGATAAGACCTTTTTCTGAATCTCAATGTCTTTTGCTCTATTGAGTTTTGAGGAACCAAATTATTATACTTCTTGTAATACATACCACATTTATAATTGAACAATAGCAATCCTTTGTACGTGTATAGAGCTTTTTATTTTTTAGATTTCTTTCATAAACATGACTGTATTTTATTTTCACAATGCCTTTCCCATATACATAATGTGGATTTTATTATACACACTAGCAAGCTGGGGAAGTTAAGGAAAAAAGGCTAAATTACCTGCCTCAGATGATCAGCAAATAGAAAAGCTGGGAGTATTAACAGAATCTAGGTGCCAGCCAATAGAAGCCGGCTAAAGCACACCACTGTGCATCAAATACTAACTACTACATGCTAAGTCTAACATTTTATCAGATGAAGCCAGTTATTTAAGGATACCACTTTTCAACATATCATACCTCTCTAATTTTTCTGAGTCGTCAGTTGATCCGGCGGCATGTGATATGTTTGGATAAAAATAAGCAGGTATTGAAATGACTTCTAAGGATCCAGATGTCACCTGCCTTTTGAATCTATAAACAGAAGTAGAGGTGTATAATTGAATTTGATTTACCAAAATCATAAAATTAAAAAGAAGTTCCTTATGTATACCCATACAGTATTTTGACCTGAATTACTTCATGATGTATCTGATAATGACATCATAAAACTAATACTTTTTAAGCCAAAATATTTCTTTTTTAAGTCAGTGACACATGTAAAAAATTACAATATACAATATAAAATTAATTTCCTCTTATAAAAATTATAAGTACTTTGAATTTTTCAAGTTTTCAATCAGATATGCACTCTAACAGATGCAAGTTAATTGACTAGCACAATATAGTAACTTCAAAAAAGCAAGAACATTAGAAGATTTAAATGCATAATTTTAGTTTAATAAGAGTCCTACCAAATAACAATGTGGCTCCTGAAATCAGACTGTCATAGAAAGGATTAAGTGTGACTCTTGTCCACAATTCTTTGGAGGAGTATTTTTTAGTCTCTTTATTTTTAAAAGTTAACATTTATAGACCAACAAGGACATCATTAAAATGCATAAAATACTGCTCACAAAAGCTGTACTATAAATCTTGTACCATCAAGGTAATAATGAGAGACCAGGTAGAGCATTTTAAATGGTTTTCCATAAGAGAAAAATAACATGACTTTAAATGATATTTAAATCTAGGCATGGCATTATTTATTAAAATGGAAGCAGGACAGAGCTTATATGCATGATTTGAATTACGTGCAAAATAGGCAGTCCTCGCTTTGAATTTCAGTTACATTTTAATTAAATAATGTCCGTTTCCCCCAACACTTTTCAAATGTGAGTCTTCATGGAATATTAGCTGAATAACTGTATAAAGTACAAACTTCACTTCCCAACACCTCAGTTCATAAATCACTACATAAGTAACAGATGCACGTCATCTTGTCACTTCTCCCCAAGTCTGCTGGTAACTGGTCACCATGCATCTGCTTTTCAGGTCACTGATAGCCAGCAAAACATGCAATTGTGTTGCCTCCTGGTCTCCTAGTAATAAACAAACCCACGTGACACTGAACAAAATAACCAAAAGAGGGGACTGGCTAATAGGTGAAAGTGCAGACACTGATAACACTGGAACTTTCTCTGGATGCAACTAAATGATCACAGACCTTGGGAATGTTGACACCTTCACTCTCCAGAGACCTGGGGTGTGCAGCACAACTGCGAAGTGAAGGTGAACTTGCCTGACATAAATGAGGAAGATGCTTGTAGCGGAAAGGATATCCTGTAGGATATGACACTGGCAAAAAACTTCACGTTAAAGGAACACTCAGAGATGTTTCATGACATTGAAAATGTAAATGATAAAATGTAGGTGCCTGATCCAAACTCAGGAGTAATGACAATTTGCCAAGGCATAAAAAAATGTTCACTCTGAATTTTAAGTTATAGGACAGGAAAAAGGCAAACAATGTTTAAACTACTCTTAATAAATTTTCTAAATGAAATACTTTATTCTCAATGATTTCCATGTTTTATTTATTTATTTTTTAATTGAAGTATAGTTGGTTTACAATATTATATTAGTTTCAGGTGTACAACACAGTGATTCAACATCTCTATAGATTATACTCCATTTAAAATTATTACAAAATAATGGCTATATTTCCCTGTGCTGTACAGCATTTCCTTGTTGCTTATTTATTTTATATACAGCTGTTTGTGGCTGAATCTCACTCCTCCCCTGTCCTCTCCCCACTCTATCTGTGCATCTGTCTGTTTTGTTATGTGCACACTTATTTTTTTTTCTTTTTATTTTATTTTATTTTATTTTTTTTTTAATTTTATTTATTTATTTTTTTTTATCACAACCATAGTGTATCTTTTTTTTTTTTTTTTTACATGTATTCCCCATCCCGGTCCCCCCTCCCACCTCCCTCTCCACCCAATCCCTCTGGGTCTTCCCAGTGCACCAGGCCCGAGCACTTGTCTCATGCACCCAACCTGGGCTGGTGAACTGTTTCACCCTAGATAATATACGTGTTTCAATGCTGTTCTCTTGAAACATCCCACCCTCGCCTTCTCCCAGAGTCCACAAGTCTGTTCTATACATAGGAGTCTCTTTTTCTGTTTTGCACATAGGGTTATCGTTACCATCTTTCTAAATTCCATATATATGTGTTAGTATACTGTAATGGTCTTTATCTTTCAGGCTTACTTCGCTCTGTATAATGGGCTCCAGTTTCATCCATCTCATTAGAACTGATTCAAATGCATTCTTTTTAATGGCTGAGTAATATTCCATGGTGTATATGTACCACTGCTTCCTCATCCATTCATCTGCTGATGGGCATCTAGGTTGCTTCCATGTCCTGGCTATTATAAACAGTGCTGCGATGAACATTGGGGTACACGTGTCTCTTTCAGATCTGGTTTCCTCGATGTGTATGCCCAGAAGTGGGATTGCTGGGTCATATGGCAGTTCTATTTCCAGCTTTTTAAGAAATCTCCACACTGTTTTCCATAGTGCACACTTATTTTTTGGATTTCACATGTAAGTGGTAACAGGATATTGTCTTTCTCTGACTTATTTCACTAAGTGTAATACTCCCTAATCCATCCATGTTGTTGCAAATGGCAGAATGCCTTTCTTTTTTATGGCTGAGTAATATTTCATTTGTTGTGGTGTTGTGCTCAGTCTTGTCAGACTCTTTGTGACCCCATGGACTGTAGCTCAATCAGCCTCTTCTGTCTATGGAATTTTCCAGGCAAGAATACTGGAGTGGGTGGCCATTTCCCACTCCAGAGAGATCTTCCCAACCCAGGGATCAAACCTGCATCTCCTGCCATTGGCAGGTGGATTCTTTATCCCTGAGCCACCTGGGAAGCCCAGTATTCCATGATATACATATATCTCACATCTTCTTTATCAATTCATCTCTTGATAGGCACTTAGGCTACTTCCATATCTTGGCTATTACAAACAAAGCTATGAACACTGGGATGCATGTTTCTTTTCTAACTGGTGTTTCCATTTTCTTCAGATACATACCCAGCAGTGGAATTGCTGGATCTTACAGCAGTTCTACTTTTAGTTTTGGGGGGACTCTCCATAGTTAGTGGCTGCATGAATTTACATTCCCACCAACAGTGCACAAGCATTCCTTTTTCTCTACATCCTTCACCAATATTTATTATTTGTAGACATTTTGATGATAGCCATTTTGACAGTCATGAGGTGATATCTCATTGTGATTTTTGATTTGCATTTCCCTGATGTTAGTAATGTTTAGCATTTATCATGTCTCCATGTTTTAAATTACAGTGTACTAGATGAATATTAGTTTTACTATATTTTTCATTTTTCTATACATTTATAGCTGTCAGAGAGTATTAAACATTTTGACCAATGTTTAATGGTCATGAAACAATTGCTTGCGATTATGTAGTCATATCCACAGGAAATGTTTGTAAACCTGTGTATCCTTTTTAGCTGATTGTCAAGAATCGCTAATAAGGATATCAAACTAGCATGAATTAATGCCATTTCAGGATAATGTGTCTTCTCTGAACAGTGGTTTATCATTCAGAGTAAAGCAACTGGTAGGATAGCATGGGATATGAGGGCATTTTAAGGATTTGCGTATAACACAACTTTTTTCCTAGGACATCTTCTTTGGGGAAAACTAGACATCCATGGTGTTTTATTTAGTCTTGCTCAACTCTGTCTCCTTTTATACACATCAGCTATTTCAAGCCTTCCATACTGTTCTCAAGTTTATAGGCTGCCAGTTAACTCCTCATTCTCAACGTATGATCTTTACCTCTCTCACAGAGGAGAGAGAGAGCTACCTTTAAGGAGGGGACTGTTTCATTCCACCTTCCTTGTCCAAACAATTTTGTCTTACTCTTTAACCCATTCTCATCTTTTTTTCACTTAGTCCTGCTTACATCTCCATGTGTACCTTGCATCCAATCCCCCTCAGTCCTTGCTCTATCAGCTTCCTCCCTCTTCACCTGAGCACACAGAAAAACCCTCAAGTTGCTCCCATCTCAGAACTCCCCAAACATGTCTCCCTCGAGCTAATTTTAACTTTTCTCCCCGTCAGTTAAGCTCATTTAGAAGAGACTAATTTTTGAAAATTTTACTATGAAAATTACCCAAAATATGCAAATCCCAAATCACCTGATTTAACAACCATTAATTTTTTAACTTGTTCATCTATGCAGTCCACATTCTTTGCTTAAGAATTTTAAAACAAATCATAGATATCGTATTTTACCCTTAAATTCTTCAGTGTGAAATTGTAAAAGGAAATTTATATTTATGTAATGACATGATAGGATCACATCTCACAAAACTAAGAGTAATTATTTAACATCACATAACACTCAGTGGATATTCACAAATCCCTAGTAGTTTAAGTACAGGGTCTAAAGGTGGGGGGTGGGTATAAGATGTTCAAGTGAGTATCCACTTAAGATCCTCTCATTGTAATTGGTTATCTGTTATTTCTTTTTTAAGCTTATTATCTAGACCAGTCACTATAGTTTTTCTTTCTTTCTTTTCCCCATGCAACTCTCATTTTGAAGGAAGTGGGTCAGCTGTCCTAAAGAAGGTCCCACATCCTAGGGGTTTGCTCCAGATTACTTTCTCCTCTCACTGTGTATACTCTGAACTGGAGCTTAGCTCTAAAGGCGTGATTAAATTTGATGAGATAAAATGTATATTTTAAGGCAGGACAAAAAAATTCAAGCATAAAATTCTTTGTCTTAACCCTCTCCCCCAGTGTACCATGTGCCTCTGCATTCCACACACATTAACCAGACCCCCTCAAAGACGGGAGTGCCAGCTAATCCATAAAGATCCTTTTTCTTCCCCCTTTCTTCTGGCATAAGTTTATTAGAAGATTAGTATCCTTTCTCAACTCTGTAAGGGTTTGTAGTGACTTACTGCTCACTTTGTATGTGCTTATCTGGACTATGTATCTTTGGGGAACTTTAGGTAGACCAGCACTCTCATTTTGATGTATGATCCTCTGTCTCAAAAATGGAACTGACTTCTACCAGGGGGAAGGAACAGTCCTCAGAGCTTCTGACAGTCTGTCTCCAAGGTTTTAATCCTAATTTGACTCTACTAAAATTCTCTTTTTCCTTAACTTGTTATTTAAATTTTCATTGACAGATTCAGGGTCGTTTCGTTTTGTTTTGTTTTGAGGTTGGTGACCAAATACACCCCACAGTTATTTCTTGGTGCATTTCCTCTGCATCGTAACAGAAGGCACAAGTATCTGACTCTCTAACTTGCAGTGACACGGGCCCGATTAGAGGGTCAGGGAGGGGAACTTGATCCCTTCCCCCTATTAACAATTATCCATCTGTTCTCAGCCCCCATTTCCCCACTTCCACAGTGCCAGGTATTGTAGGGTGGGGGTCTGCAAGCCACCATTCCAAGACCCGTTGCCTGCTCCTTCCAGGTAGTCCCATGGGAGGCAGGAAGGAAAGAGAATGGAAGGCAGTAGGAGGATATTGTCCACACGGCTGGTTTCTGGAGACGTCTCCGGCAGCGGCCTGGAGCGCGGCGACTGGGCAGCACCACCAGGAGCAACAGGGCTGTGTCCCAGCATCGAGCACAGCGCAGCAGCCGCGCATGGTCTCACCTCGGGGCACAACCCCCTCTTCCGTTACGATTCTCCTGTCTCCTTTCTCCTTTTTCTTCTCTCAGCTCTTGTGAACTTTTTTGGCTAATTTTATAATTTTATTTTTTATATTTATTTATTCGGCTGCACTGGGTCTTAAGTCATGTCAGGGCATGTAGGATCTATTAACAAACAGTTCCCTGAACAGGGATTGAACCTGGATCCCTGCATTGGGATCAAGGAGTCTTAGCCACTGGACCACCAGGGGAGTCCCTTGGCCAATTTTTTGTATTAAATTGTCTCTATTTCCTCTCTCTGAACCACCAAGAGTTTCCCATTTGGCTGCTGACTGATACACCTTCCCTGAAAGCTTCCCCTCCACCTGTCAGTCACTTCATGATATGCCTGAATCGGTTATGTTTCAAAATGGCGAGCTGCCAATTCTATGCATTCCATAGTCACTGACTGGAATTCTTTTAACTAGAATAAGTTGGCTTCATCCGCTAGAGCTATTTGGTGAGGGAAAAACAAAAAAAGCAAAGCATTGCTGGCTGAAACAAGCATGTCTGTTAACCAGATTCAGCTTGAAGGCAACCCTAGCTTGTAGCACAAATAGCACATAGCCCTAGCACTGATCATAAGGCTTTTCATGATCTCATCATGACCTGCCTTATCTCCCATCAGTCTTTCCTCCTTAATTCCAAACATCTACTACATTCAGGAAACATCAGTTCTTACAGTCCCTCCCCCACATACTCCCTCTTTGGCCCTTCTGCCTTCCCAAGCAATTCTATTTGCCAGGCATTCTCTTCTCCTTCTGTCTGCCCGAAACACGTCTAATTACACTTGCACAAAGTCCAATTATTAAGTTCTCATGAAAGTCCTTCTTGGCTGAACCTAGAGTTAAATGCTTCCTACCCAGTGTGTTCTCACATTGCCCTTCCCATTCCACCAGCTTCCTTGCTGGGACTTGCTTTTTTTTTTCTCACCAGTTGTATGGCCCACTTAAGCATAAGGATTTGGAAGGCTGGGTCCATTCCACAGCATCTTGCTTGATAAAAAATTTCATATCGGTTCATCAGCATGTGCTTGCATCTCCTGGGCTGCATGCAGCAGGAGATTCTAAGCAGAAGCTGGGAAAGTAACCTCATACAGTAAGGAACACAAGAATGCTTTAAAAATAATCCAGCAGGCTTCTCTTGGAGGCCATGGATTTCATCAAGAATAGATACTATAAAAATAATATCATGACAAATATGGACTTTAATAGGTAGATGATGTACAGAATTGGGGCAAAATTATAAGTTACATTTCATCACAGCATTGATAGAGCTACATGATATTTTTTCTGCACAGTTACACTCATTAAATAGAATAAGACACTAATAAAATCATGTAATTGGACAGAAAAATGAAAGAACAGTTATTTTTAAATTTATCACACAGTACTTACTTTTTTGTAATCATGTCAACCACGGATTTTACATAATTTTCGTTACTCTAAAAATGAGAGAAATATTTTACTAAAATGAAGAAGCATGCCTCATAGTTCTACTAATACATGTAAATCTAGTTTATGTGTGGAATGTTATATGTCTTAATTATTTCTACTGTTTCTACTTTCTATGAAAGAATTTAAAATATTCATGCATCTAAAAGATCTGACTGGAATACTGAAAACACTTTATTCTCCCTTTGTCATAATATGAAATATCACTACACATTATTTACAATTAGAAATTAGTACACAAAAACTTACATATCTAAAACAGTTTTGTCCTAAAAATGGGATGGCTTATTTCAAAGAACTGCCCTTTTTTGAAAGTGTCTTCATTTTATGAGTATTGTACTACAGGGAGCTTTCTTCAAAATTACACATTTTTCGAGAGAGTATTTGTTGGCTTGATTCCCAAATTTCCTTCCATCAGCAAACTGTGTGTATGTACTCTGCTATGTTAGGTGACAGATTCATTTGTAAGTAGCTTTCAATGGCTTATACTTCCAGGTAATTTTTTTTTTACATAACCTATGGCATTTATAACATGTAGCCTCAGGGCCCACAAGCATTCCCAACACAAAATTTTGAGAATATTTGAATACTTATAGTTCTACTACTGTCAAATCCGAGTAGTCTGAAAGGCAACTTTGAATGTATATAGTTAGACTGCTTGTTTAAAACGCTCAGCCATGATACAGACCACTCTATTATAGTACTTCAGTTTCTTAAGATAGCCAAAAATGGAATCACAAGCTATTTCTTAACCACTGAAACATATGTTAAACATACTACTAAAGTTATACCTCTTAAGCAGTCTATATATTCCATTTTAAAATTTGTCCTCCAATATTTTATTATTGGTCTAAACATTTTAGGCAGATGTGCCAACAGTAAAGAAATAAAGATTGTAATATGTAACACATGGTAATGTGATAAAACATTTTGGAGATTATGTAAATGCTTCCAATATTAAAAAATTAAACTTGGACAGAATGATTATTTAATCTTTTATTTCTATGTTCCTATTAATTCTTCTGCTTGTTTTGAGTTTTTCTGCATTCTAAGACATGTTTTTCATAGAAAATTCAAACAACAGAGAAAAAAATTTAAAGGACAGCAGAAATCCCTTTAACTCCCAATATCCATGCCCATCAGCAGACAAATGGATAAGGAAGTTGTGGAATATTACTCAGCCATTAAAAAGAATTCATTTGAATCAGTTCTAATGAGATGGATGAAACTGGAGCCCATTAAACAGAGTGAAGTAGGCCAGAAAGAAAAACACCAATACAGTATACTAACGCATATATATGGAATTTCGAAAGATGGTAATGCTACCCCTATATGCAAAACAGAAAAAGAGACACAGATGTACAGAACAGACTTTTGGACTCTGTGGGAGAAGGTGAGGGTGGGATTTTTTTCAGAGAGAACAGCATTGAAACAAGTATACTATCAAGGGTGAAACAGATCACCAGCCCAGGCTGGATGCATGAGACAAGTGCTCAGGGCTGGTGCACTGGGAAGACCCAGAGGGATGGGATGGAGAGGGAGGCGGGAGGGGGGATCGGGATGGGGAACACATGTAAATCCATGACTGATTCATGTCAATGTATGGCAAAAACCACTACAATATTGTAAAGTAATTAGCCTCCAACTAATAAAAATAAATGGAAAAAAAACCCTCCCAATATCCAGAGATAACCATTATTAATATTTTGAAGATCATCATTTTGAGGTTTGTTCATTCTTTTTTTATGTATTCTATCATCTATTTTTCCTTGCTTCCTTTCTTCTATCACAGTTTCTATAGATAATATGATCTCAAACATGATACTTTACAACTTTTCTTCAGTCAACAATATGATACGGACATCTTCTATATCACTAAATATGGATATTCATTCTTTCAATGGTTACAAATTATTGCAACATAGACAAAAGTACTTACCCTCTCACTGATACCTATTTTGACTGTATCTAATATGCTGTATTATAAAACAACAGTGCACTGAAAATCTTTGAAATTGTCACTTACTGAACACTTGCTATGTGACATACATCACTGTAAATACTCCCCAAATACTAGCTAATCTAATGGCCAAAACATCCATATACTGTAGGCAATTATCATCACTATTTCACAAATAAGGTGAGTGAAGCATGGAGAAGTTAAGTAACTTGTTCCCATTCACAAGGCAGGAAGTGGAGCAGCTGGCATCTGAACCTTGGCAATCTAGATCCAGGCTCTGTTCTCAATCATATTGGCACATTTTGTACTATACTATGTACGACATACTGTCACTGTCTACTGTCACATTTTTATTATTTTGAAATTCTTGCTTGATTATCTCTTTAGGATAACTCCCAAGACTTGAGATTTCTGATTCAAAGGATAGACACATTTAAAATCTGATATCTTCTGCCAAATTCCCCTCTGAAACACCTTTTATGGTGTTAATATTTATACCACACTGTACAATTTTACATGGCATTAGAGGCAAGACAGAAAACTTTGGGCCACTAGAGAGATGCAGATTTGAACGTGCTCTACTAAGCGCTGGGAAAACTATTTACTTTAAGATCCAGGTTTTTCATCTGGATACCTACTTTATAGGGAATGCAATGCAGGTTATAAATAATGTATATAAAAATTGTCCACAATCCTTCAGACATAGAAAGGAGTCCCTCAACTAATAACAGTTACAGTGACTTAATACAAATTATCTCTTGATTCATATACCAACCTTTTCTTGGGCTGGACAGGTTTTATTACTATAGCACCCATTTAAATGTCCTGTTTTTAAATATAATTTCTGTACCTTATAGTATACAGGGCTCCTGGTAACATATTTAACAATATAATCATATTTATCCACATAGAACTGTTTCATTTCCCTTAAACTGATGGTGGTATCAAACAAGTATTAAATACATTGTTATTCAAAAAAGGCATCTAGCAGGTGCTTTTTAAAATTTAAGATAAAATTCAACATGATGCAGTGATTACCACAGAGGAAATTACCACTGTGATTACCACAGTGTTTAGAGACTATGGGTTAGAAGTGAGGGGACCATTCATTTTTCATACATACATCTGCGATAGAGACGATCACCACAGAGTCCTTCTCTTCTGGAAGAGTCATCCTGGAGAGGATAGAGGTCAGTGTTTGCTTCAGGTAACTATAATTTCCTCTGTTGACAGTGGGAATACCCAGGGCAAAGGTAACTGCAGGCACAGGAATATGGTATAATTTCAAAGCACAGAGAAAAAGATAATTTAGCATTAATATGTATGCTCATTACTATGTTTCAGTTAGTTGTGTGGTCATCAAAAAAGTATTTGAAACTCTATTGCAAAAATAATCCAAACTGCTGTTAAGTTTTATCACATATTTTCTTTTTGAGGAAATTCCAATTTGCAGAGGATTGTTAGCAAATGCATTAAATAGACTCTATGATGCTCTCATGTGAAGAGTTTCAATGTACTGAAAAATAAAACTAGCCATTCTCCACTTATTACAGCTTTCATCTAACTGGGTACAAAACATCATACACTGGCTGATTTTCTATTCTTCTTTCTAAGGAGATGCTGGAACCTGAAATAGGAAAAATACTTTGAAATATTTTCACCTGTGAAAAAATTGTATGAAGTAATTTCTAAATGACTGATGGAATCTATCAGGCATGGATCCATGCCTTTAAGTGACTTTTATTGCATATTAATGACTGAAGCATTAGGAGAACAGACCCCATGTTATTCCAATACATGTTAATATTCTATCAGCAAAGTCTACCCAAACTCAATCTTCACTGTACCAGTGCTCAGCTATTTGAGTTGGGTCAAGATATACAGTCAGTCAGTTCAGTCGCTGAGTTGTGTCTGACTCTTTGATACCCAATGGACTGCAGCATGCCAGGCTTCCCTGTCCATCACCAACTCCCGAAGCCTACTCAAACTCATGTCCATCGTGTTGGTGATGCCATCCAACCATCTCATCCTTTGTCGTCCCCTTCTCCCGCCTTCAATCTTTCCCAGCATCAGGGTCTTTTCCAATGAGTTGGTTCTTTGCGTCAGGTGGCCAAAGTATTGGGTTTCAGCGTCAGCATCAATCCTTCCAATGAATATTCAGGACTGATTTCCTTTAGGATGGACTGATTGAATTTCCTTGCAGCCCAAGGGACTCTCAAGAGTCTTCTCCAACACCACAGTTCAAAAGCATTAATTCTTCAGTGCTCAGCTTTCTTTATAGTCCAACTCTCACATCCATACATGACTACTGGAAAAACAATAGCTCTGACTAGATGAACCTTTGTTGGCAAGGTAATGTCTCTGCTTTTTAATATGCTGTCTAGGTTGGTCATAGCTTTTCTTCCAAGGAGAAAGTGTCTTCTAATATCATGGCTGTAATCACCATCTGCAGTGATTCTGGAGTCCAAAAAAATGAAGTCAGCCACTGTTTCCACTGTTTCCCCATCTATTTGCCATGAGGTGATAGGACAAGATGCCATGATCTTAGTTTTCTGAATGCTAAGTTTCAAGCCAACTTTTTTACTCTCCTCTTTCACTTTCATCAAGAGGCTCTTTAGTTCTTCTTTACTTTCTGCCATAAGGGTGGTGTCATCTGCATATATGAGGTTATTCATATTTCTCCCGGTGATCTTGATTTCAGCTTGTGCTTCATTCAGCCTGGGATTTCACATGATGTACTCTGAATATAAATTAAATAAGCAGGGTGACAATATACAGCCCTGATGTACTCCCTTCCCGATTTGGAACCAGTCTTGTTCCATGTCCAGTTCTAACTGTTGCTTCTTGACCTGCATACAGATTTCTCAGGAGGCAGGTCAGGTGGTTTGGTATTCCCATCTCTTGACGAATTTTCCACAGTTTATTGTGATCCACACAAAGGCTTTGGCATAGTCAATAAAGCAAAAGTAGATGTTTTTCTATCCTGTCCGGCCTTAATTTCCACACCTTTATAATGGAGATAAGTACTTTGAGAATGGCTCAGTGAGGAACTCAGAAAAATCCTCTCCCTAAAAAGCAATAATCAAACTGTAAAACAAAGCTGTTAAAACCATCAGAGCCCTGGTATACAAAACACTGAGAGGTGTTTACTTGAGAAAAATTACTGAACTTCAGTGACAGCAGTAAGAATCAGGATTTCCCTGATTACTATTGTGTTTGAACATATTTTCATATGTTTATTGACCTTTGGATATTCTTTTGTGAAATCCCTGTTCAAGATTTGTCCGTTTTTTATTAAGTTGTCTGTATTTTCCTTACTGATTGACTGATGCTCTTTATAGATTCTGAATATGAACCCTTTGTCAGTTATATGTATTACGCATACCATCTTCCATCACGGGTTTCCTAAAATTAAGAAAAGACACTCTTAACTTTAGCATTGTGCAATTTATCAATCATTTCCTTTATGGCCAGTGCTTTTTGATTCCTGCTGAGAAATGTTTGCTTATCTTCAAGTCCATAAAGATGTTTTCCAGATCATCTTCTAGCTGATTTATTATCTGCCTGTTATATTTAGATCTACAATATAGATCTAAATATACAATATATTTAGATACCCAATACATTTAGATATTGTATCTAAATATACAATATATCGACAATATATTTAGATCTACAAATCCACCTGGAATTGATTTTCATGAATGGTGTGAAGCAGGAGTCAAGTTTCAGATTTGGGGATCTACTCTCAGAAGCAATTTCTTCAATGGCTTCCCATGTCTTAGGATAAGGAACACATTCACAAAAGTCTGCAAGGCCCGTAGTGACCCAGCCCCAACCTACCTCTTCTGTTTCAACTACCCTCTCTCGAAACCAGTCTTCCTTGGTGCCTTTCAGCTTCCCAGACTGATCATTCAGTCCTCTTTCCTCTCCAGGCATCTGCACGCGCCATTCCTTGGTGCCCAGAACACTCTTTTTCAGGCAACTGTGCTAGTTCTACTCACTCTAAGTGGATTCTGACCTCGTCTCTCATACAACTTGTCCTTTGTGTTGCTACCCATGTGTCTTCCTACCTAGACTGCAAGCTGAGTGAGGGTAGACTCTGCTTATCTTGTTCACCATTATTATGAATCCAGCATTAACATAATGATTGCCACATAATAATGTCCAAAAATCTGGGGTGGATAAACACAGCCAAACTCCTCTATTATGTGGCCTCCGTTTCATGTTTTACTGCCGATAGTCACCAGCCCCAATTGTGCACACAAACCACATCTTTTTTCCAAGTCCTCTTGCTGTTAGACCTTTCACATTCTTTCTTCTCCTTTTCTGCTATCCACCATCTGCCTTTTCTCTACTTGCATGCATGCATGTGTGCTAAATTGCTTCAGTTGTGTCCAACTCTTGGCGACCCTATGGACTGTAGTCCACCAGGCTCCTCTGTCCATGGGATTCTCCAAGCAAGAATATTAGAGTGGGTTGCCATGCCTTCCTCCAGGGGTTCTTCCCACCCCATGGATCGAACCCATGCAGGAGAACCTGCATCTCCTGCATTGGCGGGCAGATTCTTTATCACTAGCACCACCTGGGAAGCCCTTTTCCTTACTCATTCCATTGTAATTCTTTTTACCCTTCATGTCTCACTTTAGATGTCATCTCCTCCAGAAAGCCTTCCCTAATTCCGCAAGTACAGATTAGCCTTCCCTAAATCCCCAAGTAGATGTGGCTCTACCCTTGTATATCCTGTCAGAGCACTGATTAATTTCTATTGTAATTGTCTCCTCATTTGTCTCTAAGAGGATAAGTTCTGCATCTGTTCACCACTATCTCACTAGAGCCTAGTAAGTGTTTGGAGCTGGGCAGAAGCTTGTTAAAGGAGGAAACGTGGAAGCCTTCGCAAAGAAGTTCACAAAGAAGTTGTCAGTTAAGCTGAAAAGTCATATTGGATAAGAGATATGACAAGTTAGTTGTGGGCTGACAGGAGGTGATATGTTCCTTATAGGCAATTATCAACTGATCACTTGTAGGGAATGTATGGGGTTGCTGCAAAAAAAGGAAGTGGAAAAAAATGAGATTTGAAAGATATAAACTACTGTGCATATACCATATCAAGGAGTTAATGTCATTCTATATGCACTGAGCATCTACTGAAGGATTTTAAGGGACAGTTGTGCATGATGAGTTATGCACTTAAATATGTACATCTGAGGAAAGTATTAGGAATGAACTGACTTTGGCAATACTAAAGCCAAGAGAAAAATGACAAGTCTATTTCAATAGACTGGGCAAGAAAAGAAGGCTGAATGAAAAGTAGTTACAGAGGGGCTATAGAGAGTAGAAATTATCTGAGATATATCAGAATAGAGAAGATACAAGCCTGATGACAGGTTCCCCAGGAGGCCATGCTACAGACTTCAGCACTCTTGCAAATGTTTTATGTCATCTTTAAGGTAACTAAAATCTCCCTTTAAATTAGTTCTGGTGATGAAGGTTTATATGCAAACCTCTTCTCCCAAGAACCTAGGAAATCCTAGGTCAATATATTCAGCACTGATTATATATCAATATAATCAAACCTGATCAATATAGTCAGCACTGGTTGGAAAGAAGTAAATAGTTGGGGGATTGGACAATTATTCAGGATTTAATACAGCACTGATAACTGGTTTATTTCAACACCCCGAGCTCCCACACAAGTAATTCCATTGCTCTTCCCAGTTACCAACCTCTCTCTCTCCTTCCTTTCACTCTATATCATGGGCTTTGGTTTATCTTTTCTGATGCTTATCCAAGGCTGGGCTTCTCCTTGGTATCCAGTATCTTAGAGTTACTGGGGACTGATTTTATCTTTTCTGTGTCTTTCAACTCCTCCTCTTTCTGTATAATGTAGTTTTGTCTGGTGTGCACGCTCTCATACATTCACGCATGTGTATGTACATATTTACAGGCCACAATTAAAATACTTCTAGGAAGGAATATGATGCACGTGAAGACCTCTACAAGTGTGATCTCAGAGAGTTCCATCATCTCTCTAGGCCTCAGGTAAGAAATAAAGATAATCACAGCCCCTACTGCATTGGATTGTGAGAATGAAATGAGATAATCAAAGAAAACATCAAACTTGGTATATGGGACACAGAATTCAGTAGATGGAAAACAATGTCACCTGGCTTCTCCATCCCAACACAACAGGTTTGTTAGAGGCATGTGACATAGACCAACATTGTTTATTCCCAAGGAACTGCTAAGAGCAGAGGTCAGCTCACTTTTTCTACTGAAGGGCCAGACAGTACAATTTTCAGCTCTTGGGCTGTATCATCTCTGCTGAAGCTACTTATCTCTGCTGCTGCAGCACAAAAGCAGTCAGAGACAACAAGTGAACAATGAGCATGACTATGGTCCAATAAGGCTTCTTAAAGACAGGCAAATCTGGCCTGCAGGCTCTGGTTTGCTGACCTCTGACCTGGAATAACTCACTCATTGGAATGAACGTGGTTGGTGGGAATGGCAGGTGTTCTGAGACTTAACCTTAATATCCCTGCTTCCAATGCAAATACTTTTTCTCTTCTCCTATACCTGGTGAAATTGAACTCATTCTTCAAGGCTTAACTCAAGCATTACCTCTTCTGTAAGGCTTTTGTTGACTTTGCTCCTCAGAAAGATGAGGCAATAGGAAGATAACCAGATAAGAAATAGATTTATCAAAACCAAAGGAGATGAACACTGGGGTGCACGTGTCTCTTTCAGATCTGGTTTCCTTGGTGTGTATGACCAGAAGTGGAATTGCTGGGTCATATGGCAGTTCTATTTCCAGTTTTTTAAGAAATCTCCACACTGTTCTCCATAGTGGCTGTACTAGTTTGCATTCCCACCAACAGTGTAAGAGGGTTCCCTTTTCTCCCAGATGAATGGATAAGGAAGCTGTGGTACATATACACCATGGAATATTACTCAGCCATTAAAAAGAATTCATTTGAATCAGTTCTAATGAGATGGATGAAACTGGAGCCCATTATACAGAGTGAAGTAAGCCAGAAAGATAAAGAACATTATAGCATACTAACACATATATATGGAATTTAGAAAGATGGTAATGATAACTCTATATGCAAAACAGAAAAAGAGACACAGATGTACAGAACAGACTTTGGGACTCTGTGGGAGAAGGCGAGGGTGGGTTGTTTCGAGAGAACAGCATCAAAACATGTATATTATCTGTAGTGAAACAGATCAGCAGCCCAGGTTGGATGCATGAGATGAGAGCTTGGGCCTGGTGCACTCGGAAGACCCAGAGGGATTGGGTAGAGAGGGAGGTGGGAGGGGGGATCAGGATGGGGAACACATGTAAATCCATGGCTGATTCATGTCAATGTACGACAAAACCCACTACAATATTGTAAAGTAATTAGCCTCCAACTAATAAAAATAAATGGAAAAATAAAAAAAAAAACAAAGGAGAAAAGAGTTGCCAAGCACACAACAGATGCTTAATGATGTCTGGCTTATACTGACTTATTTCCAAAGCATCTTCATTAAACTTGGATTTAAATTCAAGTCTCCAAATATTTATTGAATGATCTTTTTCTGCAAGACAATACATTGATTTCCAGTAATACAAATGAATGCCAGATAGGCTGGGGGTCTGTATGAATATCATATGAGTTGATTACATTTTAAAATTTAAAGATTTCCAATGATCAAAATGTCTGTATTTGATCTTCCAATGCTAAGTTTTCTTACCGCCTGTTTTCTCTCTGCCCATGATTACATCAGGATAAATTCTGTCTACTTTCCTTAGATGAGGGAAAAAGAACTTTAAGACTTCAAATGCATCAGACACTGTTTCATTCGTATCTGAGGCATTCACTTTCTTCTCAACTGTAAAAGAGAAAAGATAAGGTTTTTGAGTTCACAACTATAGGGATTCTTCTCTTTCCAGTAAAATTTTTTAACACAGTAGTTAATAAGTTAATTTACGATTAATTTAGTATTCAATATATAGGATACATACTATCAACTGTGAATTAACAACATCATAAAGCTATAAAATATAGCTCAAAGACTATTGATTCATGTTTATTTTGAAGTGAAAGTGTTAGTCGCTCAGTCACGTCTGACTCTTTGTGATTCCATGGACTGTAGCTCACCAGGCTCCTCTATCCATGGAATTCTCCAGGCAAGAATACTGGCGTGGGTAGCCATCGCCTTCTCCAGGGGATCTTCCCAACCCAGAGATCAAACCTAAGTCTCCTGCATTACAGGCGGATTCTTTACCATCTGAGCCACCAGGGAAGCCCATTTATTTTCAAGGTATTTAACGTAAATCTAACACTATGAGTGACACAACCAGAGGCTAAGAGAAAAGATGGTTCCAAATGAAGGAAGTAGAACCAAAACATGCTCTAGCTGGCCTGCTCTACCACTTTAACATCACATCATTAAAGCTTGTATTTTTATAACTTTGTTTTCTAGCTTCTCAACATTTAATGACTCCACTCATTCAAATTTTCCCCAATAATTCTGAAAAAGAAGGATAACGTTGAAGGACGTACACTACCCACTTTAATTCATAATACATAATACAGTAATCAATGCTGTGGAGTACTACAGAACAAACAGACACACAGGCCTACGGAACAACAGAGATACAGACATAGAGCCACACAAATATGGTCAACTGATTTTTGAAGACAATGCAAAGGTAACTGCAGAAAGAAAAACCTTTTCGACCCACAGTTCTAAAACACTTAGGCATTCACATGAAAAAGACTGAACCTTGCATTTCTCTAATAAAGAGTGATGCTGAGCATCTTCTCACGTGCTTCTTGGGCAGCGGTACATTTGCTCTGGAGAGCTGTCTATCTGGTCTTCCACCCATGTGTAAAACAGACACCTAGTGGGAAGCTGTGGTATAGCGCAGGAAGCTCAGCTGGGAGCTCTGTGATGACTTCAGTGGGTGGAAGGAGGGGAGGGAGAGAGGTCCAGGGGGAAAGGGATACACGTATACATGTAGCTGACACATTTCATTATACAACTGAAACTAACACAACTCTGTAAAGCAATTAAACTCCAATAATATAAACTGTGGTGTTTGAATGTGGTGCTGGAGAAGACTCTTGAAAGTCCCTTGGACTGCAAGGAGATCCAACCAGTCCATCCTAAAAGAGATCAGTCCTGAATATTCATTGGAAGGGCTGATGTTGAAGCTGAAACTCCAATACTTTGGCCACCTGATGCGAAGAACTGACTCGAAGAAAAGACCCTGATGCTGGGAAAGATGGAAGGCTGGAGGAGAAGGGGACGACAGAGGATGAGATGGTTGGATGGCATCACCAACACGATGGACATGAGTTTGAGGAAGCTCCAGGAGTTGGTGATGGGCAGGGAGGCCTGGCGTGCTGCAGTCCATGGGGTTGCAAAGAGTTGGACACGACTGAGCGAATGAACTGAATAAAAACTGAACTTTTGCCTATACTTCATACCATTTATAGAAATAAACTCAAAAGTTTCATAGACCTACATGTAAATCCTAAAATGGTAAATTTTTTAAAAACCTAAAAAGAAAATCTTTATGACCCTGAGCTAGATAGAGTTCTTAGATACAACATTAAAGGCATAATACATAAAAGGAAAACTCGACTTCATCAAAATTAAAAATTTTTGCTTTCTGAAAGACACCACAAAGAGAATAATAAGACAAATCACAGCGTGGGAGAAAATATTTCCAAATCACACACCCATGAGATATGTATCCAGGATATGTACAACTCTCAAAACTCAACAGTTCAGTTCATTTGCTCAGTCGTGTCCTATTCTTTGTGACCCCATGGACTGCAGCAAGCCAGGCTTCCCTGTCCATCACCAACTCCTGGAGCTTGCTCAAACTCATGTCCATCAAGTGGGTGATGCCATCCAACTATCTCACACTCTGTCATCCCCTTCTCACTATCTCATCCTCTGTCATCCCCTTCTCCTCCCGACTTCAATGTTTCCCAGCATCAGGGTCTTTTCCAACGAGTCAGTTCTTCGCATCAGGTGGCCAAAGTACTGGAGTTTCAGCTTCAACATCAGTCCTTCCAATGAATACTCAGGACTGATTTCCTCTAGGATTGACTGTTTTGATCTTCTTGCAGTCCAAGGGACTCTCAAGAGTCTTCTCCAACACCACACAGTTCAAAAGCATCAACTTTCTTGATGCTTTCTTTATAGTCCAACTCTCACATCCATACATAACTACTGGAAAAACCATAGCTTTGACTATAAGGACCTTTCTTGGCAAAGTAATGTCTCTGCTTTTTAATATGCTTTTTAATATTCAAAACTCAACAACAAGAAAAAAAACACTCAATTAGAAATGTGTAAAATATCTGAACAGGCATCTCATCAAAGAAGATATATGGAGGGCCAAGGAGCACATAAAAAAAGTTCAACATCAGTAGTCACCAGAGAAATACACCTTAAAACTATGAGAGGCCATGACACCAGAGAGGCTATAATTAACTGGAGTGACTGTGACTCTCATACACTGCTCCAAAATGGCACAACCACTCTGAAAAACATCTTGGCAGTTTCTTATAATGTTAAACATCCACCTATCATATGCCCATCAATCCTAGATAGATATCCTAAAGAAAGGAAAATTCCCTTCATACAAAAAAATCTGTACACTAATGCTTACGGCAACAGGTATTTGTAATCACCAAAGAACAAAGAAACCTGAAAAACAATCCAAATGTGTCTTAATTGGTGAAACAACCTCTCCATTGCACATCCATATGGTGCAATGCTATTAAGCAACACACAACTGGTCGCATTAACAACTTGGATGAATCTATGCTAAGTGAAAGAGTCCATAAAGGTTATACACTGTGTGATTCCATTTGTATGGCATTCTGGAAAATGGAAAACTACGGAAAATTATCAGCGGCTGCCAGGGGCTGAGTTCAGGGGAGGTACTGGATTACAGAAGGGGAAGCAGGAGGCAGAACTTTTCATCCAGAAGAAATGGGGAGCCACCGAAAGTTCATTTGCAGGACAGTGTAGCCTTCACTTTGGCTAACATGAGCATAAACAGGTGGGGACAAGACTGGAGAGAGAAAGGGGAAAAAAAGAAGTATGTTAGCAGTCATTCAGATGAAGCATGAAAGTAGCCTGACTAGGGTAGTAGAGATGGTGACAGGAAGATGTGCATAGATTTGTGAGATATACAGGATTATCAATGAATAGGACTGCTTACTGACAGTCATGGGAGAAGTATGCTAGAGGAAGGACTCAGAGAGGATGTGCAGGTTTCTGGCTGCTTCTGTCAGATGGATCACAGATGGTGGTGCCATTCAGAGACAGAAAACAGAAATGGACCATTTTCGAGGTACAAGTGAGAGGAAATTTATCAGTGATGCCTCTTACCACAATTTTGCATGTTTCATAGTAAAAAGAATGAGTACTGATTTAGTTATAGCTCCTGGAAAGAAATGCCCTAAAATCAGAAAGCATAAAATCTAAATTTCCAAACACAAAAGATTACACAACAAACCACCATACACAAAACAAAAACAATGCAAACCTGCATTTTTTGCATCATGTTCTTTCTCTGAAATGTCAAGCTTCATTTCCTTGAAGGCATTAAGCAACTCTTGGCGATTTCTTTCTGTTTTGTTTTTTAAGCGTAGTATACTTTGCTTAAACTCCGAAATATGGTTTCTACAATTAGTTAATTGATTACCTACAAAGAAAACATGTAGATATTTATACATGTAGCAATATCATATACTTTTCTATAATATATGGGCTTCTGAGGAGGCGCCAGCGGTAAAGAAGACACCTGCCAATGCAGAAGACATAAGAGATGCAGGCGATATCATACAATTTTCTATAACAAAATGTAAAGTATATGCTTCAATATAGTTATATATAACACTACACTTATATGTATGTGTGTCTGTATAAGTGCATGGAGAAAGAAATGGCAACCCACCCCAGTGTTCTTGTGTGAAGAACTCATGGACAGAAGAGCCCAATGGGCTTCATGGGATCACAAAAGAGCCAAAAGCGACCTAACTACTGAACAGAAACGGCATACATAGCGCTGTGCTGTGCCCAGTCGCTCAGTCGTGTCCCACTCTTGTGACCCCATGGACTGCAGCCCGCCAGGCTCCTCTGTCCATGGGGTTCTCCAGGCAAGAATACTGGAGTGGGTTGCCATGCCCTCCTCCAGGGGATCTTCCCAACCCAGGGACCGAATCCAGGTCTCCTGCAATGCAGGCAGATTCTTTACCAGCTGAGTTACCAGGGAAGCCCATACAGTGCTATATATATATAATATGTATGTACACGTATACATAAAAAAAGAATGAAGTGTTAAAAATGGTAATATCTAGAAGGTGAGATTATCAATAGCTTTTTGCTTTATTATTTTGTGCGTTTCTGTATTTTCCAAATTTTCCATTTTGTGTATTATTAGATTTGAACTTAGAGGGAAAAGCAAGTGAAGGCCAAAAATTCACTTCTAGGAATTTTTCTGAAGAAAATGACCAGAAATATGTACACAGATTTAGCTCTAAGGATGTTCAACATAGGCAGCATTATTTATCACTGTGAGAAAACTGGAAACAACCATAAAGCTCAAGGATGGAAGTATCCTAAATAAATTATAGAATACCGTTTAAGAGTTCTGCTGGCTTTCAGTTGAGTATTTGTGTGACGCTGGGCAAGCTACTTAATTTCTGTTAGCTTTTGCTCCTTCAGGTGCAAATGAATATATAAAAATTCCTGCTGCAGAGCTGTTATGAAGTTGTAATGCTATTATACATGTAAACCATGTGGCAAAGCACACACACACGAAATGCTTGACAAATGTCTGACAAATATTATTACTGATCAATTGACTACTCTTTCTTCATTTATCAATTAAACATTCTGCAGCAATGAAAATCACCCTGTAGAAGAATATTTAAAGTTTTATAAAATTGTTTTTTAAGAATAAAATCTTATAATTTCCATTTAGCAAAGAAAGTATATTAATATAGTAAAAAAGGTGTAAAAGTTTATATTTTGTTAATATATAATCTTTGGTTTGTTGAATCATTTTTTATTTCCTATTTTCACAAAATTCTTCTGTTCCTAAAATCATTTTCATTGGGTCTATAATCAGAAAAAAATTAAGAAATTAAACACCTTTTATTTGTCAAGTACTCTGTCCATGGAAACACGAAATAGAGATGGTCAGTTCCGGCTTTCAGGAACTTTATAGGCTGATTGGTAGAACTAAATTAGTGACTGAAATCAATGTGCTATTTCTGATATTATAGATTCTCTTCTCCTTGGGTTTTAACTAATTAAGCACACACATATGTGATAACATCAATTCCAAACAGGGACTATGAGCTTTATTTGCAGCTCTGACAATGGGATACTGCACAATGCACTGGGATGTCCTATTTCCCTACCCAAGTTACCCCTACTCTCACCTCATTACTGAAAGAGGAGGTGGACGACAGAGAGGCCACATCCACAAAGGGGGTGACTTGCTGCGTGTGCTTACTACTTAGGAGGAAAGAGTAAAGAGGAAGGCTTTTCCTTCTTTCAGACAGTTATTATAAGAGGACAAGCCAGAGATGGCCCAAGTTGACTTTTTAAGGAAGCAATTCTGCCACCTTGTTAATCTGGCCCACTGATGCTAGGTCTGAACAATCTCACCATTCAGAAGAACCTTCAGTCTTCTGAAAAATGTAATGAGCTGCTGGGCGAAGTTACAAGGGTTCCCTTTCAAATGCCCTCTCTAGGAGGGTGAAATGAAAGATATCCCCTTAAGGAAACATGGGCAGAGAACAAGTTCAACCCCGGGCACGCAATGACAATAGTATGCACAGAGGACAGCAGTGAGACGGTTGGGGGTGGGAGGGGAGAGCAGGCTGGGGGAGGATTCTGAAGGATGAGATTGCTCACAGACTCTTTTTTTTTTTTTTTCATTTATTTTTAATAGTTGGAGGCTAATTACTTTACAATATTGTAGTGGTTTTTGCCATATATTGACATGAATCAGCCATGGATTTACATGTGTTCCCCATCCTGAACCCCCTCCCACCTTCCTCCCCATCCCATCCCTCTGGGTCATCCCAGTGCACCAGCCCCGAGCTCTTGTCTCATGCATCCAACCTGGACTAGCGATCTGTTTCACACTTGATAATATACATGTTTCAATGCTATTCTCTCAGATCTTCCCACCCTCGCCTTCTCTCATAGAGTCCAAAAGTCTGTTCTATACATCTGTGTCTCTTTTTCTGTCTTGCATATAGGGTAATCGCTACCATCTTTCTAAATTCCATATATATGCGTTAGTATACTGTATTGGTGTTTATCTTTCTGACTCACTTCACTCTGTATAATGGGCTCCAGTTTTATCCATCTCATTAGAACTGATTCAAATGTATTCTTTATAATGGCTGAGTAATATTCCATTGTGTATATGTACCACAGCTTTCTTATCCATTCGTCTGCTGATGGGCATCTAGGTTGCTTCCATGTCCTGGCTATTATAAACAGTGCTGCGATGAATACTGGGGTGCACGTGTATCTTTCAGATCTGGTTTCCTCGGTGTGTATGCCCAGCAGTGGGATTGCTGAGTCATATGGCAGTTCTATTTCCAGTTTTTTAAGGAATCTCCACACTGTTCTCCATAGTGGCTGTACTAGTTTGCATTCCCACCAACAGTGTTAAGAGAACCGGGTGTGGACCCTTTTCTCCACACCCTCTCCAGCATTTATTGCTTGTAGACTTTTGGATAGCAGCCATTCTGACTGGCGTGTAATGGTACCTCATTGTGGTTTTGATTTGCATTTCTCTGATAATGAGTGATGTTGAGCATCTTTTCATGTGTTTGTTAGTCATCTGTATGTCTTCTTTGGAGAAATGTCTGTTTAGATCTTTGGCCCATTTTTTGATTGGGTCATTTATTTTTCTGGAATTGAGCTGCAGGAGTTGCTTGTATATTTTTGAGATTAATCCTTTGTCTGTTTCTTCATTTGCTATTATTTTCTCCCATTCTGAAGGCTGTCTTTTCACCTTGCTTATAGTTTCCTTTGTTGTGCAAAAGCACTGGCACAAAGATAGACATATAGATCAATGGAACAAAATAGAAAGCCCAGAGATAAATCCACATACCTATGGATACCTTATCTTCAACAAAGGAGGCAAGAATATACAATGGAAAGAAGACAACCTCTTTAACAAGTGGTGCTGAGAAAACTGTCAACCACTTGTAAAAGAACGAAACTAGAACACTTTCTAACACCATACACAAAAATAAACTCAAAATGGATTAAAGATCTAAATGTAAGACCAGAAACTATAAAACTCCTAGAGGAGAACATAGACTAAACACTCTCTGACATAAATCACAGCAAGATCCTCTATGACCCACCTCCCAGAATATTGGAAATAAAAGCAAAAATAAACAAATGGGACCTAATTAAACTTAAAAGTTCATAGACTCATGAAGGAGCTCGAGTTATTAGACAGTCGAGGGAAACAGGGAAAGGTACTCTGTTGGAAAGCAGTGTGAAAAGGCGACAAGGCATTCAAAAATACGTCTCTACAAACCAAGAAGCCGTTCATTATTTCAGCACAACACAGGGAAAATTCATAGTGAAGGTAAAAAAGGGTCTTATTATACCGGTCTTCTTGATAAGCTATGAGAAGGAGCTTCAACTTTTTCATATGAACCAGTGTTTCTCAAACCTTTCTTCTATAAAACCTCTAGAGGACTTCCCTGGTGGTCCAGTGGTTAAGACTCCAAGCTTCTAATACAAGGGGCATGGGTTTGATCCCCAGTCAGAGAACTAAGATCCTACATGCCATGCAACATAGCCAAAAAAAAAATTTTTTTTTAAGTAAATAAAATAAAACACCTTTAATGGCAGTGAATTTGAAGAAAAGGGACACAGGTGGAGGCATAACTTGAAATGCCCACAACATTTATGGAATTTCTGTAACGTTTCTTTAAAATGTGGGCAAATTTTGTAGCCCATTCCACAGCACCTTTTTGTTTCAATAGAAAGATAATGGAATCACTCTTTTTTCTTTGGGTGACTTTATATATCTTAGAACACCACTACAGACTATCATGGGAACAACTATCTCAATTGTGAAGCATCACTGAAGACTATTAGGTAATCACTACCTAACAGTTTTAGAGAGATCATTCTGATGACCCCATTGAAGACTGTTTCAGGAAAGCAAAACTAATGCCAGAGAAACTATCAGTTAGGAACCTATAGTGATATTAGTTTCAAGTGAGAGATGATAAAGAATAAACCAGGGCACAAAGGATTAGGAAGTAGGAGATGGATATGAGAAATATCTGAGAACTTTTATTGCAAAGACTTAACTGATAGAGGGGCTTCCCTGATAGCTCAGTTGGTAAAGAATCCGCCTGCAATACAGGAGACCCCGGTTCAATTTCTGGGTCGGGAAGATCCACTGGAGAAGGGAAAGGCTACCCACTCCGGTATTCTTGGGCTTCCCTTGTGGCTCAGCTGGTAAAGAATCCTCCTGCAATGTGGAAGACCTGGGTTCAATCCCTGGGTTGGGAAGATCCCCTGGAGAAGGGAAAGGCTACCCACTCCAGTATGCTGGCCTGGAGAATTCCATGTACTGTACAGTCCATGGGGTTGCAAAGAGTGGGACACAACTGAGCAACTTTCACTTTCACCTGACAGAGAGGA